AGTCCTTCTGCTCTGTCAGGTCAGTAAATGCCTTATTGTCTTAGGTTTTCCCCATCATTGATAGGAACTGTCACAATACTCACCTGCCTTATAAAATGCTTCCTGATTTTAAGTTGGAAAATGATGTATTTGAGTTAAGCACCCTAGCATCTTAAGGGAGAGGCTGAGGGGGTGGGAAGGGGCACATTCATTAATTATCTAATAAATGAAATTGCTTCTTTTTTAGATAGTAATTGGCTAGAGGGGCCCCATGAAGAAAAGCGTGTTTACACTGCACAGCTTTTTATGAGCACAAGCGCATATATTATGATGGCTTAGAGCCTAGGCAAAAGCTTGGAGCTTTATTTTTGTTTCAGTAAGTAGATTTGATCTAATCAGATAACAGCAGCAATACAAATTTTCACAATAGCAGTTGGCCTTTATCTGGCCAGTCTAAGAACAAAGGCTTACTGTTTGTGATATACCTTTCAAGGTCTTTTTTATGGCCTAGATAAATATTGCAAACAAACTCCTTGTCAGTAGGCTTTCTGTTCCATTAAAAGGGTGCTCTTTGAAGGTGTTTGGGTTTATTTCTGAGAAATTTTACCACGTGCCAAATACAAACAGTCCTTCATAATCAGTGTGTATCACCAGCCTCTGGGAAAGATGCACGTAATTGTTGCCAGGAGTGAAGAAAAGATTAATGATATTACGGTATTAGATGAGGATATTTTACTTGTTCTGCACTTTCTCCAAGAAGTAGGAATGAGTCTCAATTCCCTACAGAATTGTGACATGTGAATATATAGGGAAGACTGAACAGGGAGACTTTCATTTGGATGGCAGGAAGGGACCCAAGAATTGAAGAATGAGATTGAGACACTCTATCAAAATAGACTGAGTCTATTCAGGTGAATTTCAGCAGCTTTTGGGCAGCCAAGTCCCCAAAATCTCATCCAAAATGCCCTTCCTTCAGTCATAAACCCACATGGCACCACCATTTCTGCTGCTGCTCCCAGTACGTGTAAGCCATTGCACAGGAGCACCCCAGGGTGAGGAGCCTTGCACAGTGATGGCAGAGGCTGTAGACATCAATATGAAGAACATGTCCCCAAGCAGGCCTCCTCGGGGGAGCCTGCATGGAGCACTTCTAGCAGAGCTGCAACTCTGGGTCTAGTGCAGGGCATCCTAGACGCCATGGACATTTTATTTCAAACTTTAGCCAAGGAAAGGAGAGGTCTTTGATATTATGACCCAGTTAGACCATTAAAGGAAGTGGAAGACCTGAATAGTTAGCCTTCCTCAGTCTGAGAAGCTTCAGTCTGGGTCTCACTCAAGGAGACTGCTTTAACCACGAGGCTATAAGCACGTAACTATGTTAGGCAACAGTACCTTTTATCTCTCCTGCAGAAGCTTGGCAGTGCAAACAAGAATGCAAGAGCTGTGAGGATTTTTGGCCAAGCAGGGGTTGGAAAATAAACTCCTTGAATTATTTTGGAATAGAACATTGCTTGCTTGATTTTGGTTGTTTAGTCCAAAATGCTAGTTTAGCTAAAATCCATAACCAGCCTTCATCTTTAGAGTCCAGTGTTGAGTACAGAATTAGCAACTGATGTCACTGTCCTCTACTTCCCTTTGTCAGTACATGCCTCCAGCATAATTTTGCATCCAATCAGTATTCCCCTTGTTTTGCAGAATTGGAGAACTATAGTTAACTCCTCAGTTCTTTTAGCATCTCCTTCTACTTTGAGGTACCAGTTTCCAAAGTTACAGCCTCAACAGCTTTGACCCATTCTCAGAAAACTTGAACGTCATAGGTAACCAGCCCAGCTGTTCTAGATAGAGGAAGTCTCATCCCCATTACATGTAAACAATAGACGAGTTTCCATTGTTTGCAGTGGGGTTTGCTTGTTATTCTCCTTTTTTTTTTTTTTTCCAAGTCTGCTTCATTCTGTTTGGGTATTTCCACAGAAGGGTCAATGCAATCCAAGTAAGACAGGAGCTGCGCTAGCCATGTACCAGGAATAGGGCACATAATTGTGTGTGGGCTGCGTTAGGTTTGTGCATGCTTTCTAGTCTTCATTCTGAGACATTGATCAGGGGTTACTTTTCAGACTGGGCAGCTAACAGCCAAAATTCCCCAGGCAGATAACTTAAGTCTTACCTTTACATCCAGACTAAATAGCAATGTGGAAAGAGGACAGATGTGGTAGGTCATACTAACGTAGGAGTTAAACCCCCTTTATATGCTGGTGCACTTGATCCATGCCGCAGCCGAAGTATAGTGAAAAGAGAAAGGGACTGAAGAAGAAAAGATGGGAGATAGGAACTGAGATCATTCATTGACCTATCAAGACTCAGGTCAGGAGTAGAGTCTCACAGAGGCTCCTGCAGCACTTCTGGGTTGGCTCAGCCATCCCACACTGCTAAACTGTGAGAGACCATTTCAGCCCTAACTGCCAACAAGGTGTATGTGTGTTTCTTTGTATGTTACAGCTCAGCTTTGTGCTGTCAGCATGGCTGAGTGGTAATAGACTGTTGTATCTACCACAACCCCTTTCCTGGAGCTGTTTCAAGCACCTTATATGCCACATAGCCAAAGATCAGTTATAGATGTACAAAGATCATGTATTTAAACTTTAATGCTATCAGAACATGAACATTTTCCTAAGATTTATTCTCAAAAGTAAACTGGGTTTGAAAGAGGAGGGAGGAGAGAAGAAAGGATTTCTTTCAACTTTGTTGGGATTCTTGTTCCAGAACTTGCAGACTGAATCAAGAGCCCTTTGAAATCCTAGAGTCCTCCTAGCTGAGATTATCTATACTGAGTCAGGCTTAACCTGAAACTAAGCAAAAATGTCCCCACTTACCCAAAGGTTCCAAACTCCTCCTGTTCATTGTTTCCCTTTCCCAGTGGCTCTCTCATGCCTATGTTCTTTGTACCTGCAGTTGATTTCTTTATTGATACTGTTTGTGAGTGCTGCACTTTGCCACCTTCTGGCAGAAAGATCTGGGGTTAACTAACTCTCCTAGGAATTAGTTAATCCCTTGTCCCAAAAGGATTTAACAACTGACTGTTGTTTCTGGTCTGGGAAAGACATCCTGCGACCTTTGTCAGTAATGTTGGATGCCGTGTAGAGGCACAGTATACCAGAACAATTTCATAATAAAAGCATAATTACTTCAAGCAGAATTCAGAAGCTGTATGTTATACAGGAACCCCAACTCATTATATCACAACTGTAAACATGTCCATCCCTATCAGGCAGGACAGCTGCTCTGGTGAATGTAAGAGAGGGACAGAAGCTGGCAAGAATGTATTTATGTTAGTATCTAAAAATCAGAAGCAAAACATTTGAAATTGTATGATTTTCTACACAGAAACATCTATTGCTGATTAGATTCTTTCAAATCTTAGAATTTGCCAGAAAGCAGAAGTGTGGCACCAGTCTGTCTAGAAACTTATTCATAAACACTGCTGCAAACTCAGTGTAGTTTAGGTTAGATTAATATAAAACAGTCTCTGTTCAGTTAGCTGGACTCTGGACATATAGAAGTTGGCTTAAATATATTTTCAAAACATTAACAAGAAAAGTTGTATGTTACTGATGAAAGTATGCATATCAAATTTTAAGTTAAATCACTGTAATTTTATACACAAGCCCATCTCACTATTGAAAAATATAGTAAGGGACAATTAAGATGGTCGTTGTCTCTTCAGTGCCTCAAGTTTTTGGGTATAGAGGGGAGAAAAGACAACTATCTTCTACGCATTGATTTTACAGGCAAGAAATACACCCTGAAGTTGTTTAATCCTGTCTTTCTTTCTTCCCTTTCTCTGGGGAGCTTTTGTGCTACCTGTGACGACCAGTGCTGTTTCACAGAAAGACATCAGGGTAACAGCAGCACTCATGCAGGCTCCAAGTGAGCTCTCACATCTTGCTGTCCAAACAGCAACACCCTTAGCTATGGAGCCAAAGGGAAAAAAAGCCTTCCAACTTGACAGTAGGATTAATGTTTATCCCTTAATCCTTAATCCTAAAGCAGGCTTGTGGCAATTAAAGATGAGATTCTCACACACTCACCAGAAGATACTGCTACCTTTATTTTATATATAGATATATATATACACCCTACTCATCTGTGATTCAGTGACCTACAGAAGACAGCCTGGATGTTTTTGTGAAAATTAGCATGAGCAAAAAATTTACTTTTTTTTTTGGTGCAGGTAATGAAAAATTTACCAGTTTTACCTGTATTTACCTTTTTATCCACCAACCACATCCCGAACACCTAAATGACCGGTATTCTTGGTCACCGGACTTCATCTTTGTGGAATTATTTCAAGGAGTCTGTGCTTGTGGTAGGTGCACAATTCCTCTGGCTGACTGAGTCGTCATCTAGGAAGAATCTCCTTAGGAGGATATCATGGTCACTGCAACAGGTTATTGAAAAGATTTTGAAACTCTTTAAATCTTATTGATGATTATACCAGACTGGTCTTCTCTAGAGTCCACCCAGATAGCCAGCGCCTCTGCTGCCTGGCTCCCCAAAACCTATGGCTGACAATTGAGAACCATTTAGGCCCGCTGCTCATTTTCATAAGCACATATGGTACATGTCTGTTCACTTCCACTGGCGTGTGCTGGTTCACATTTGACCTAGGGTTATGTGGCGGAAGCACGGGAGGCTGCTGAAGAGAGTAAGCATGCTACTGAGTACTGCATAAAACCACTCCTGAGACCAAAATTTTCCTTTCAGATCACTCTTTTAAAAAGCAAGCAAATACTCTCGACCATCAGCAAGGACAAAAATAGGGTATGTAATCTGTTCTTTATTTATGTGGACTCCAGTGCATTTTTGTTGCGGGTGTGGAAGGGGGAATGGCAAGTGCTTTCTAATTCTCCATGGGAGAGTTGTTACTCTAACTTCTTTCCTGGCTTGTGTACATCAAAAAGGAGACAGTCTTCGTCCTCCTCTTCAGCTATACTTCAGGCCCTGCTTACTATCCTAAGGTGTACACAGCTGTGCTGAGATGGACAGGCACTACTGCAACATCCACTCTCAAGTACTGCCAGTTCCCTTCCTTTCTTGCTCTGCTAGTGAAGGTTTCTAGGTATAGTAACCAAGTTAACAAAACTGAGTTTAAAAAAATTTAAAACGGTGTAGGTTAGTTCCAGATGACTGAAAGCATCTGCATCAGCCTTCCCTGATCCAGACACACACTTCCTGAGGAGGCTGAGACCAGAGCTAGAGTATTTGCATTCTGTATGCACTTGCTTGCTGCCTTTAGATCTAGGTAGAATATCCACCCTGCGTTGTAAAAGTTCTTTCCATTGCTCAGAAACATACCCTGCTTTGGACTTTCCATCCCAAAAGCATTTGCTGCATTTTTCCTCACCCTCCTACTGTTCCCCTTCCCTTTACTGCTTACCCCTTCTGACAGCAAGGTAGTAGAAGGAGACAAAATCTCACATGCTGTGCTCTGGTTCTCTGAATTTCATTGCTCCGGTTTTCAATAACAAATGAACCATTTACACATCCCTTCATCTCCATGTCCATGCACAGGCATGTAACTGAATGGAATGACCATAATTCTGTGGGAAGAATATTCTTCCCAAAAGGTTTTAGGTGCTAATGTACAATGGTGAAGGGTTGTATAAAATGCTATATGGAGGGATTCTGTTAAATTAAAAACCTTTGCTGTCCTCATGACAGCAGTAAGAGGCATTACTTACTGCCAGCATCCTCCTCCTGCTCATGGAGGGCCAAGATTCAGGGGAAAAGGTAGTAACTTATGCAGAAAAAAACTGAGGGAGCAAAGAGTTTACAAATGAAATCCTCCTTGTCACCAAACCAGAGCAGAGGTGAAGTGTAACAACTGTTAAGAGATTGTTAGAGACTTCTTTAACTTACAAGAATGTGGAAAAGCAGGTAAATGTAAAAGCAAAGTTGGCTAGAAATATTTCATCATTTTCTTATTTTCTAATAATAAAAATAAAACTATGTTTTTAAATTTAAAAACAATGTTTTCTAATTCTTCCACTCTAAACATTTTGAGCTTTTTCTTGTGGTAAGGTGATACACTCCTCTATTAAATTTTGACTTCCAAAGTACTTTCTGTTTGTCACTTCTTTTGGTGATGCTGTGATTTTGCCCAAGCTTTAAAAAGCAGCCATAGCATTTGGGCAAATACAAGGAATGGAAATGTAAACATCTGAAACATAAATGTAATTTAAAACTATTTGTGCTAAACATCTTATAGTGTGGTGTCAACAAGAACCATTGTAACAGTTAACAAATAATAAAAGGGAAACTTGGTGTTTTGTTTTCATGGTTCAAGCAAAGTAAAAAGTAAACAAGGTCTTGAATGAACTGCTGTATGTTTAGTTGTGTCTTTTTTAATAACCTACAACATTTTGTAGTCATAAAGACAAACATAGTATAGCTTACTGTTTATAATATCCCCTTTTAACAGTGCATGCTAGGTCAAAAAAAGAGGGTAGAAATTACAATTATTTTCTAGTACTAGGAATTATTCCCCATAGTTGCAGTTAAAATATCTTAACAGAATTTTGATACTCACTGCCTGCAATTTGCTTTTCTTTGCAGCACATCCTAAATTTTTTAGTGAGGCAAAATGTGAATGAAATTTGAATGCCAGGAATTCAGAATTCAGCACTCTATCCTATATTCATAGTCTCTTTTACTTTCAAGTAATCAGATCTTGTCCCAAACCCATGACATTGTCTGAAAAAATGACAAGACTAGTATTTTAAGTTGCAAGGTATGTGTGTTTCCCACTTGGTGTTTGAGCCTCTAGGGTGGAAATCTGCAGACTCACCCTAGTAGTCACAGTTGTTACAAGTTAAGGTTTTAGTATAATCAGATGACTTTGAGAATGTCACCAAAAACATTAGGTACAGTGAGACTGCATCAGTTAGGAGATTCAATGGTACCATAACACCCTTGTACTTTCTATTTAGCAGATTGTCTCTAAAAAATGGCTAGCTCTTTCACTTGGTATTTGCAATGGGACTATCATAGTGGTTTCTACTGACATACTTTTTCATTTCCCAGAAATCACTTTGTATGATGGCAACAAGCATAAGATGATTTTAGTTCAAGTGTAATATCCTGCATAGAATTTTGTACTTGTGCTTTAAAGCAGCAGTGTGCTTAAATCATAATAATTATTAGCGGGGTTTACCTTTTTTTAATTACTGGCTCAAAGTCCAACTTTCTTCCTCTCTGAAGTAGATGTACTTTGCAGACATTAGACGGCCACTGGGGGTTTGGTTCCACAAGGATTTACACTTACCAATTTTTAAGCAGATTGTGCTGGAGGTCACAAAAATTCTTCCATTGGGTTGTCATTTCATTTCAATAAATGCTTTTTTAAAAGCAGAGGCAGACGGTTGCAATCTTAGAAGGTTTGTTTAAACTACAGTACACTAACAACCACTTTAGGGCTAATAATTTGCTCTGTTCCTTACCATGCTCAATAAAAAAAGACCTTCCTTGTTTTGAAGAGGTTTTTGTCTCAGATAAAGAGAGAGGCAGGCAGACAGATGGCATAACACAAGGAAAATCCAGCACTGGAATAAATTAATAAATAGATTCATCAGTGAGCTGCATGAATTATGTTATGCACCTTTTTATATAACTTCGGAATTTACAGTTCAGGAAATGTAGTTTTTCGTAAAATGTGAAATCTTGCAGCACAGTTTCAGGCTACTGTGTTTTTTCTTTTCCTTCACTATTAGCCTTGTTCCTGCCTATACTTTCAGAACTATTTTACAACCCTTTCAAGAACAATTTCGGATTGCAGGGTTAATCTGAGGCTCAAGGAGCTCCAGAAGAGGTCCCCCTTTTAAAAATTCATGGCTGTTAAGCACTTCTGTGTGACAGCAACCTGAATTCCAAATAGTGTCATTGCCCTCACAAGGAGGGCGCTCAGGGGAAGAGCAGCATTGGCCTGCTCTGTTGAGATCACTGGATGACTGCACTTTACTTTAGTAATCCAAACTATTTAAACCTCTTTGGATAACTGATTACGGAATTAAGCTAATACACCAACATTACCAGTTCCATGACACAAATTAAATAGCTAGGCCAAGATTTTCACACTTACTTAGTGGGGTTTTGGTGCTGCCCTTAAGGTACATAAAGGAGGGTTACCTTTCCGGTCATAGGAGGTGCTCGCATCTCTTTGGGACCCATCTTCTGACCAGCCAGCCTATCAGATGATGCCTGTTAGACTTCAGAGAAAGGATAAATCCCAAATCACTAGTAATTTTTAGTGTGACATTAGTCTTTTATTATACAACTGTTAAAAATGTGCTCTACAACTTACTGCATAGATAGCCAACTGCAGAATTAATGCTTACTATTTTCACTTTTTCACATAGGTTCGTGATGTTACATCAACAGCTAGTACTCGCCTTTGGAATATCACTAGCTAGTGATATATGTGCATTTAGAAGCTGTTATTCAGAAGCCCAAGTATCCCTATATTATTCCTGCAACCTCACAGATATTCCACTTGTGCCAAAGGATACAGTGAAGCTTTTGCTAACTTTCAACTACATCAGACAAGTGACTGCAACTTCATTTCCACTGCTGAAACGCTTATTGCTGTTGGAAATCGGAATGCAGTATGTCTATCCTGTTACCATAGGAAAAGGAGCTTTCAGGAACCTGCCAAACCTTCGTGTCTTAGACCTGGGATTCAATAGGATTCTTCAACTAGATCTTGATGCTTTTGTGGGCTTGCCAAGTCTGACTGTACTCCGTCTGTTTCACAACGACCTTGAAGATTCCATCCTGGAAGAACGTTACTTTCAAGATTTGAGCTCGTTAGAAGAATTGGATCTTTCAGGGAACCAAATCACAAAACTTCAGCCTCATCCCTTATTTTATAATCTAACAGTCTTGAAAACTGTGAACCTGAAGTTCAACAAAATATCCAACTTGTGTGAAAGCAATCTTACCAGCTTCCGAGGAAAACACTTTTTATTTTTTAGCCTCAGTTCTAATAATTTGTACAAGACAGATGAAATGGCCTGGGCCAAATGCCCAAATCCTTTCAGAAATATTACGTTTAACTTACTAGACCTTGGTGAAAATGGCTGGAGCACAAAGAAAGTCCAATATTTCTGTACAGCCATTAAAGGGACTCAAATTGGTTCTTTAATATTTAGGTCTCATACAATGGGTTCAGGATTTGGCTTTAATAACTTAAGAAATCCAGATAATGATATGTTTGCAGGACTAGCAAGAAGTGGTCTTCGTTTGCTTGATATTTCAAGTGGTCACATTTTCTCTCTCAATTCTTTAACCTTTCGAGGCCTTGGTGATCTCGAATTGCTGAACCTTTTCAAAAACAAGATAAATCAAATCCAAAGGCAAGCATTTTTTGGCTTGGGAAACCTAAAAACTCTCAATCTTTCAAGTAATCTTTTAGGTGAGTTGTACGATTATACTTTTGAGGGTCTACATAGTGTAATGTATATTGATTTACAGCAAAATCATATTGGGATGATTGGTGGAAAATCATTCAGTAACTTAGTAAGTCTGAAAGTAATTGATCTCCGAGACAATGCCATTAAAAGACTCCCTTCCTTTCCACATCTGACCTCTGCCTTTTTAGGTGACAATAAGCTAATGTCTGTAGTTGGCACAGCAATAGCAGCAACACACCTTGAATTAGAAAGAAATTGGTTGGCAAACCTGGGTGACCTGTATATTCTTTTCCAAGCACCAGATGTGCAGTATATCTTCTTAAAACAGAATCGCTTCTCTTACTGTGTGAAAAGTGATAATGTTATAGAAAACAGTCAGTTAATCTATATGGATCTAGGCGAAAATATGTTACAGCTTGTCTGGGAGAGAGATTTATGTTTGGATGTGTTCAGGGCACTGTCCAAACTTCAGGTTCTACATCTGAATAACAACTACCTTAGTGCTCTTCCACAGGAGATTTTTAGAGGTCTAACATCTCTAAAAAGACTTAATCTAGCTTCCAACCTATTGTCTCATCTTTCTCCTGGCCTTTTTCCACAAAGCCTAACAAACCTAAACTTGTCTGGAAACCAGCTTTTTTCACCTGAGCCTGAAGTCTTTATGACTTTGAGTATTCTGGATATAACACATAATAAGTATGTTTGTGATTGTACTTTAAAGAGCCTACTAGCGTGGCTAAATGAAACCAATGTCACTGTAGCTGGCTCACAATCTGACAGGTACTGTGTATACCCACCTGCATTTGAAGGGGTACCACTGTCATCTCTGACATATGATGGCTGCATTGAAGATGAACTCCAGCAGACACTCAGGTTCTCAGTATTCATCTTCACCTCCGTCACTCTTCTAATATTTCTGATGGCAGTCATCATTTTTACTCGCTGTCGGGGGATTTGTTTTGTCTGGTATAAAACGATCACAAAAAAAATGATAGACAGCCATCCACAAGTGGCAGATAAAAGCAAATACAAATATGACGCGTATTTGTGCTACTGCAAAAATGACTTTGAATGGGTCCAGAATTCTTTGCTAAAGCACCTGGATTCACAGTATTTTGATAAAAACAGATTTACCTTGTGCTTTGAGGAAAGAGATTTCTTGCCTGGGGAAGAACATATCAACAATATTCGTGATGCCATTTGGAACAGCAGGAAAACAATCTGCATTGTGACCAGGCAGTTTCTCAAAGATGGGTGGTGTGTGGAAGCCTTTAATTTTGCCCAGAGCAGGTACTTCTGTGATCTGAAAGATGTCCTAATTATGGTAGTGGTTGGGTCACTTTCTCAATATCAACTGAGGAAATACAAACCAATTCGAAACTTTTTACAAAGGAGTCGATATTTGCAGTGGCCTGAAGATTATCAAGATGTAGACTGGTTTTTACATAATCTTTCTTGCCAAATTCTGAAAGAAAAAAAAGTGCGAAGGAAAGCCAGTGGTATAGAGCTGCAGACTGTAGCAACACTCTCGCACTGATAGTGTATCAGTTGCTTGTCTCTTACCTCTCTAATCATTTTACTGCTGTTTGTTCAGGTATGTGTCCTCAGGGGGTTGTTCAGGATCATTTTAATAAAAGTCTGACTCAGTGTTCACTGTTACAGAACCTGCACCTATTATTTTGATGGTGACATAGTCCTTGAGCATACTATTCATCTCGGTTTATACATTTATTCAACAAAAGCTTACCAAAATAATTTCAGTATGGCCTCAGTGAGTTTTTCACTGTAGTGAGGAAGCAGGAATAGGACGTTTTATAAGCTGTCTTGACCTTAGCTGCAAACAAATAATACCATCTTAACTATTTTGATAGAGATTAAAAAGTACACATCTGAATGCCATTGTTTGAATGTAGATGTGTCTGTGGCTAATCTAATTTACTCTCAGTGCACCAGTATACAGGATTTCTATTGATAAAATTACTCCAGCAAAATATTACTTCCTTCTCAATTAGTGTAGTCATTCAGGAACAGAAAAGGGCTAAACCTTGGAAAATTTTCCAGGCAGCATGGGGGAGCAGATTAAAAAAGGGATTGACTGTGCTGATGAAGCCCTGGGTGTCGCTGTTGGCTCAGGTAACGGCTAGGGCTGCCTGAACTCCTCCTGCCTCCCATCCACTGCACCTGCTGGCATCAGGGGCAAAATGCTGCTGCAGAGGGAGGTCTGAAAAAGGACCAGAAGCCCTGGCTTCCCAGAGCCCCCGTGGGCTGTCAGAAAAACCACCACCTGCATTTCAACTCTCTGCATTTCTTACATTTCTCTGAAAATGTCTAACCTTTTTCCTTTTTTTTCCCCAGCCAGTCCAAATATTTATAGGCATACTTTAAAGTCAGAGGTTATACCAGGGATTATTTCACATAAAAACCACTGACAGATAGCCAAAGCAGGAATGAATCTGTACAATGAAGATCATGTGCAGATCTAGGCTGTTAGCCTATGGATCTGTACGTGGTGTAAGAGATGGGAATTTTAAAAGCATACGTAAGAAATTGTATTTGAATGAATGTCAAAAATCATTTTTGGTCAAGTGTTAATTGAGACCCCTCTTCAGTTAGGACCTTAGTGTATACTTACAAGACACTGCTATCATTTCAGATACTTAAAACTTACTTCTGCTAACCTATGTACGCAGGAATGACAAGCAGATGCAGAGATTACTGAGATGGCTTTAACCAAGGCTTCTCCATTTTGTTTGAAATGCTTCTGTCTATTTCATGCTTATGCCACTGGTGAGAGGTGGCTACATAAAACTTGCATTTACTTCAGTCTTTGGAAAGGTCTGACTTTTTACATAAAGGTTTCAATAAAACCTTTGGATGAAATTTCATTGTCTGCCTCCGTGCTTATATACCATTTTGGAAACTTAAAAAGATCAAACCTACGTCAGGAGCAGCTGGGAAAACTTCTTTCTACCACTGAGGCAGCTTAGAAACATAGAAGTAGCCCAGCCCCCATCTGCCCCTTGCAAAAACTATTGCAAGGGGTCAACAAAAGGCAGTAAAAGGATTTTTGGAGAACATGCTACTGAACCATTCCTGATTGTGGAGTGGTTTACAGGCATATGAATAACTGTGGTGTCAAATTTTAAAGAGATTCAAAATAACTTTCTTTTTTACTCACTGTGAAACCGCTCCAAGCCTGAGACTGTCAGAACAAATGCAGTTGGTACAGTCTGTCCTATACAATGAAAAATTGACTTCAAATAGATCATAGGACCCTGATCACCACCTCTGTAGAGTCACCTATTCTTAAATGACAAAGCCTGGGGAATTGTTGAGAAAGGGCTTGTGCAGACTCCTCTGCTCAGCAGGAACCACAAAAGCATCCTGTACAAAAATGGAGAATGACTATGCTTGATGAATTAAGGCCATAAATTGAGCCTCAACCTCATAACTATTGATCAGATTCCCTTCAGGCTCGCTGGGAACATTACTGCTCTATTAGAATTTTATGGCTCCTCAGTTAAGGATACTCTCTCATCAGTTTTACTCACCTTCCTCAGTGAAAGACATTAACTTGTTGGAGAGTGTCCAGAATAGGGTGTGAAGTGTGGCACTGGCTCTAAAGCAAGCTATTAAGACGGAAGCTGGTGAATTTATTTGCAGTAGCAGCACAGGGAATATTCAGAGGACGGTGACTCAGTGCCACATGGTATCAGCTCAGATATTTAATAGTAAAAGCCTTCCCCCACCATTGCAACATATATTACAAACATTAACTGGTCAAGCAGGCAGTGTTGTTCAACAGCAGCAGTTAGCCAGCCTGTCAGAGTCCAAAGATTGCATGGGCTCCTATTCAAAATCAAGGCACTCGGGACCAGAACCCAGATTCTACAAACATACTGCTGTGGAGGGTAACAGAAGCCAACAATGACATGCCCACATATTATTTCACATTTTACATGATTATTATTTCACATCCAGTGAAATCAGGCTTCTCCTCCCCCTCCCATCTGACATGCACACTAGTCTCAGCAAAGTGTTGTCCAATTATATTTGCTAATCCCTCCTCAGAGAGACTGTTCAACCTGCTGGTAGATCTATCACCTTGTTAATTTACAGTTAGTATCCATCACTGCTCCCACCCCAATAGCTATACTACCTGTGTGGAGAACACTAGAATAGATAAGACTACAGAGAGTTCAATCTCTTGAGTGGGACACTCCTACATATGTTGCTCAGAATCACTCTGCCTTTCATTTTCTTGTGTCACATCATTAACTCAGTTCATTTGCTGACTTCTGGGTCTTTTTCAGCATGACAGATCTCCTGCTTCTCACTGCCAGAGACCATCTGGGTTTCAGATTATTGGATCCCACCTTCTCAATTTCATGCGGTGCTGATTATTTTACAATGGCTTTACCATGTTCTTTTCTTGCTGGAACTGTGAATAGCAGCAGTCCAGTTAAATCACAAACCAAGGCCCATACCTGGCAAAATACTTACAGACAAAGAGCAATACACAACTGAGTGGCAGGAGTGAGTGGTGAAGACGCTCCAAATAGAGCAGAAGCAGCACATGCAAATCTCTGGGAAAGCAGAAACTTAGGAAGGGTACACATGGTGGTCTAAGCATCCTGCCATCGGAGGGGACTTGGGTTCCATGAGAAGTGGAAACTTGAAGCGAGCAAAGACAGACAAGAAACAAGATACATCTTTAGGGTCTGACTCTACAAACATGACCAAACATAAATGCCCTAGTACAGTACGCAGATTTAACTTAAAATAGGACTAGCACTAGCAAATATTTGCAAGGTTTCTTTGCACTATACAGTACTACCAACAGCAAGTATGCAGTTCTGTAAAATAAGGCTTCCCAAATTAGAAGACTGGTGTAAAAAAACCCCAAAAGATTAGAAAAAAAATTATAAATGTCTGGTATTTGACCCTGTGAGACCACATTTTTGCACTTTCTCCATGATCACAAGAAGGTGGATATTCATGCAGTCCATGAATGCAAGAGCCAAGGCTTTAAGAAATAATCCAGATATTTCAGGACTTCTGCTTAAATGTGAAGTACGTCTAAATTAGTCAGGCTTGAATAAGGAAGAGCTTTAGGAAGATGGTGAAGAAAAGACAGGCTGGCCTTTCCAGCTTCCCAGCCCATTCTGGGCAGTGGTCTTAAATCACATATATCCTCTTTGATTCTTGCAAGATGTTTTAGTTGTTGCTGATAAATAGGATCAGCAAAACTACAGCCTTGACTGCAGTGAAATAACCTGAAGGAGAAGTGACAATATGAAGACTTCCCATACAGACAAATTTATATCAGTAGTCTTTACAAGGCCTCTTCTGGTGGTTATTACCTGGCTGCTTGTCAGAAAGTATCAAACACCTTTGGGATGCCAAACAGGTCATTCTGCTTTTGAGTACAAGCACTTTTTCATACATAGCTTTTAGTTACCTGTCTTCTGTTTTGTCCCTCACAAAGATAAGCTGAGCATCTTGGTCTTCAGACTTACTGTGCTGCTCCTGGCAGCCATGAAAGATTCCATACTTGGAACAGAACAGCAGGTGCTTCTCCACCATTATTTCCTTCAACTAAACAAAAGCTGCAAAAGCAAAGTTTAGAAGCTGAGATTTACCCAGAACGCCACTGTAAGCACTGACTTGAACGACAGAGAATGCTAGATGCCAAGCAGGTACCAGAAGTTTTAAATTCAGCCTTGTTAGTCAACCTTGCATCACATCTAGGCATTATTGTTGGGCCAATCCAACTCCTGCGTGATTTCTTCTTGCTGTTTGTCAGATTCACAGGAGGCTTCTCTTCCTTTCTAGCCTTAACTTTGCTTTCTGCATTGTGTATATACAGTGTAGTGGGTGCCAAAAGTAAGTCTACATTTCCTTTCCCAATATGCAAAAGTCAGTATAGAGGTATGAGATGAGTTATTTCATAGCGCAGAGACTATCTATTCATAGCAGACTCTTGTTTGTTTCAGACATGCGGTTTTCCTTCCTTTTAGATAGCCTATTGTTTGTCTTTTCCAATTGTATTAAAAATAAAATCTTTGAAAACTACAAGTAAGAGAGAAAAATGTATTTCTTCTGAAACTAACAATTCTCCAAACAGGAAGGTTAGCTTTTTCCTGTTTAGACATGATGTTCAAAGAAAGGAAGTGGGGATTTTCAGTGATGATAATAATAATTACATGGTATGTAAACATCAGTAGAGTATCAAAGGAGACTTCACTCTTTATTTAGTGCGTCCCAAATGCTACACTGCTGTTTAGAGTATCTTTATCTTTGCCAGTTCACCAGCTCTTGCAACAACAGATTTATGAGCAGTCATTGCACTAGGTCGATCACCTGTATGCAAGCTTTTACAGTAGAACAGCAGCATTATCAGGCTGCCTCAAGCCTGCATAGAGAGGAGTGGAGCAGAGAATCCTCGTACAAAACAACAGTTTGATGTGGCAGAGGGTTTTTTACGTCACGATTACACATACCAGGCTGTGTAACCTTTTCGTGTTGCCACCCAAA